ATGGAAAAATCAGGCGCTGTTAACACTCCTTAAGTGCTCTCACCCAGGCTGCAGAAGTTTGGCCCCAAGAGACAGTGACAGCTATGGCTCACTTACATGACAGTTGTCATGGAAATTAGGCCTCGGGATTGTACTGTGGCCATAATTTATAGATTCCTCCTTCTCCATAAACACCCTGATATTTTAGAAGGAAAATACCGAATTGGTGTGAAGGGGCTGGCCCCTGACTGCCTTGACAATGTCAAGTCTCTTTAATATGGCCCATGAAGGCTTCCACTGGTCAAGCCCAGACTACCAGTCCTGGTCTTCTCTCTTGTCTCACAGCAGCCACAGGGGTGCCAATGGGAACTGAAATCTCCAATCATCTGACCTGTGCAAAACACAGTCCCACTCTATTTCTTCTACAATACAGGCCTCTTCCTTCCCTTGACTCAGACTTAACCCTTTTATTAATGAAGCATCCAGACAAAATGTTTAAGTCAAATTCATATATCTGAGCAATCACTCAAGAGCATCCTAAATTCATCTCTTTTTCTGAATCCTTAGTATAATTAATCACTAAAAATTGCCAATTCCTATCTTCTAAATATTTCTCCTGTCTTCCCTACTGTATTCCTACTTTCAGCTTAATTCAAGCAATCAATATTGCTCATTTCGATTAACATTTATGCTTTCTATTCTCTTGTTCTAACAGAATTTGCAGTGGTTTTCAGAAACACAGTAGGACAGAACAATTTTTTTAAGTACACAAAAAATATTAAAAGAAAACTTTCAGGGCTTCCCTGGTGGCGCAGTGGTTGCGAGTCCGCCTGCCGATGCAGGGGACACGGGTTCGTGCCCCGGTCCGGTAAGACCCCACATGCCGCGGAGCGGCTGGGCCCGTGAGCCATGGCCGCTGAGCCTGCGTGTCCGGAGCCTGTGCTCCGCAACGGGAGAGGCCGCGGCAGTGAGAGGCCCGCGCACCGCAAAACAAAACAAAAAAAAAAAGAAAACCTTCAGAAGATCAAATAAGCCATAAGTTAATCCACTGAAAAACACCATGGAGTCTTTAACAGTTACTAAAAATGGACTTTCATCGATTTTCCAAGTAATAAGAAAGCCACCCAGTCTCAATCACAAAATCCATGGTTTCCAGAACATACAAATTGACAAAATGAATTTTTCATCTGGATTTATCAGACCCGAGGACCCTAACTCACATTAACCAAACTAAAAAGGCTCTGAAACATGAATTTGAATGCCAACGTATTAATATACAACGATACACATTACTATCACAACGTCCACAAAGTTCTTTACCAATGCAACAGCATATTTTCTTCCTATAAAAGATTTCTATGGGAAGCCAATTTATAATAACAGGTTTTGATGAGCACCGAACCTTATCAAGAAACATTTTAAGCAGTGTCCTCAAGAACTCAAGAAGCCTCCTGAGCTATGGAGAGGGCTGTGCCTGACTTTGTTCAAATCTATTGTCAGGGAAATTCCCACCTAGTCCACAGCCACCAGGAGTCTGAATAAGCATGGCCAAAGTGTGCCTCTGTGACTTGCTTTCATTGTAGCTGTCATTTGAATCTATTTAGCTATTCCAGGTTAACCAGCTCTCCTTAATAACACTTTCTTTCCCTAGAAATTTGAAGCCAGAAATTAGACTGCCAGCAGGAATTTTTACTTCCTATTTCAGACCTGGGAATTCTTTTTTTTTTTTTTAACCAGTAAAATTTAGATATCAGTTGATCGACTGCGAGTAGACCTTACAACCGAACTGTCAGAGCTTTAGGCCCCTGCCAATACCACCACTGACACATGATTTCTTAGAGCAACGCTTCCTTTTGCAAACTCAGGTCATAAATCGTTATGAGAAGGATTAACACCCTTGACCTCAGTTCCTTGTTAACAAAATAAGAAAAATCAAAGCTCTCTTCAAGTTATAATCTGTGGTTCAATTTATATTTTAATTGCCCCTAAAAGGCCAAAATGAAACTTTAAAACTCCTAGAAATGTTTTTAGTCATCTTCTGAAGACCTGTTCTTATTACAACCTACAAATTAGTCACACTTGATCCTTTTAGTATAATGCCTGTAATGCACAGATCTGAACAAAGCGCATAATCTCAATATACTTTGTGAACATATAAACATATATATTCTTCTACACATATAAAAGCTAATTGTAATATATACCCACACACAACTAGTTCAGATGGACTTTGAGCCTCCATTGGTCCAGCGAAAGCCTTTAGCCAACATGTTTAAGATTTGAGGGTTCAGAGATTCTTTTAAATCTCATTTCATCTGATAATTAGTTTAAGAAATTTCAAAGGCACACAAGTAAACTGTGGCTAAACTAGAAAAATGTGTATTTTTCCAATTTCAACTAAAGCAGAAAAACAATATGAAGTCCCAGACAAGTCACAAGACAAACCTCTCAATGTCTCCTCCAACTTCTCAGTTATGCAAAGACAGGTGCTTTAATGCATAGCACGTTTGAAAAGTAAAGTACTTCCTTGAGTCTAGCTTAAGTGCTAAGCATCTCATTCGAAAATGAGAATGTGGCTCTTAATTTCTTTATGGCCATGGAGCACTTCACTCTGCCATTGGCTGTGCTGGATCTGAGCCTGACGCTAAGCCTCCAGTGTTCTGACAGGGATCTGGGAGCCTGTTTTTTTTTTTGAAGGTTTCAACCAGTTGCCTTTACAGCTGTAGACAGTTGTTCTCTGTCTGCCCTACCTTAATTAGTACTTTTAACTCCTGAGCCTTTCCAAGGTTCTATGACCGCAATCAACTTGCTTCCATCACAGCTCTTCTACCTCAAGGCTTACGTTTCTGCTTCCTTGAGCCTGTTAAAACTGACTGGTTACCACTCCTCTACCTCCTTTCTTCTAGAGCTTTATTGTTCTCTTATCTGCCCCACCTCCTTTTGCTTTCATGTTTCCTTTGTATGGCTATACATTTTTACTTGCTTTGCGTAGGTAAGTCAATGAGTAGAAATAAATGTTCACACGGCATTAACTGAAAACCAAACTAGTCATTTTTTTTGCATTTCCCTATCCCATTTTGGGGCCAAATTCAGGGGTAACCTCCTTCTAAATCCTCATTAGTTCTTTACATTGACTCTCAGTTCCAAAAGACAGGAACTTCCATAATTTATCTTTCGGGATGAAAGGCCTTTCAGCACCACACTCTAGGAAAACTATCAGCAGTCTACGGAGCTCATCTTTTACCAATAGAAGGGCTTACATTTGGCAAATGGCTAAGAAGCACCTGTATATACATCCCTGTGATACAAGGTTTCCAAGGATTTCCTGAGACATACTCCAAAATAACCATATTCCATCAATTCTTCAGGCATTATAATAGTTTACAAAGAATGATCCCGGAAGTATTTCAAAATGGAGGTTTTGATTAGTCACTACTGCTATTAGGATTTTATTACTGCTGTGATCAAATTAAGTAAAAACAGAAGTGTTCCATCTTATTTTACATCAACAAGGCCTTTCCAGAACATTCTTGTACTTTAAAATTGATATTTTTTAATATCCACCTATCTCCTGCTGCCTCAGAAGAGGCAAAACTGCAAATACAGAAGTTTTGTGGCGTTTTTTTCCATACGAAGGAAAACTCAACGTAGAAACGTCTGCACTCCCTTACATCTAAATGCTTAATAAAGATCCTGCTGGCCGAGCTCTACTGTGTCCCCTAATATTACCTGCATAAATGAGCTACGTTGTCACAATATCTGTGACACTGGAATATTGGAGTAGCATGAATCAACTACTCAGAGAAATGGAAAACTACAGAAGCTAAAGAAGCACCTGGAACTCTTTCAATGTTTGTATGAGTTTCACATGTAACCACCAGCCACGAATCAAAGGTGATTATGGGTCTTTACACTTCCACTTACTTTCTGAATAGTGTCATTTGGAAAAATTACCATATGCAAAGCAACTGGGGCCTTTGGCTTCTGGGGTGTGTGAAAGCGTGGGAGGTAGGGGTCTGTTTTCTGGATAACATGCTACTGTCCTTTGACTAGAACCTCATTAGCTTCATCTTCATTAAAGCCTCCTAAAGCAAATGGTTCATGTCAATCCACGTGAAAACATATTCCCACAGCTCCACACCGGCTTCTGTAAGTTTCAACACCATAACAACACCTATGTGGACCTTTGTACTCCCCCCGCTTCCCATCCCTCCAGCCATTACACACGGCTAAAAGCAAGCTAAAATAACATACCCTTCCTTTTCACCTCCTTCGATCCTCACTACTACTCCCCTGGTCCTCCTTATCCCATTCCTTTTCCATTTCCCCAGCTAGTCCGTTTTCGAAGATACAGCATGTAGTTAGCGCCCTTAAATCCGTTTCCACCATGGAAAGGTTTGGATTAAATCCTGCTTCTCGGTCCACCTTCAGTAACTAGTAATTAGCACAGTATGTCTCATATCAGATACTCAGTTAATATTTGTTAACAGTTGATAAAAAGAATGACCAAAGGCCCATAAAACTATCTTGGCAAGTAAAATCTAGTTTGCAACTAGATTTTAATCTAATTTGCAACTCATCACCCACGCATGCGCGGAGATAGCCGCTGAGAGTGAAGAATGAGCGTGAGAGAGAATATGGGACAGGGAGACTCCTAAACCAGCTTCCCATTAGTCCGCACAGGCCCCGGGGTTAGAACTAAACGTCCCCCGCGCTAACCCAGTCAGTCTTGAGGGCAGCTCCACAGGCCGGCGGCTGGAGCAGTAAAGGGCTCCGTGGGGCAGCCCCAGGCTCCGCGCCCGTCTGTTAAAGGGCCAGAGCTTCCCCTTCCGTGAAGGGCTAGCGGGAATGGAGCCCGAACTGGAATGACCGAGCGGGTGGAGTCCGGCCCCGCTGTCCGCCGAGAGCGGGTGTCAGCGCGAGCACAGCTACTGGAGCAGGTGCCGCGCGCGGGCTGCCCTGGGCTTGAGGGCGGGGAGCAGGGGGCCGGGGACCGCAAGGCGCGCTTGGCGCCGCATTACCTCTCCAGGGCCTGCAGGGTGTAGCTGATGAGCGGCCTCTCCAGGATGGGGCAGAACTGCTTCGGGGTGGGGACGCCCATCCTCTCCCCGCTCCCCCCCGCCGGCAAAACGGCCGCCACGGCCGGCGCGCTGCACCCGGCTTCGGCCCCGGCGCCGCTCAGCAAGGAGGCCGAGGCCGCCAAGTCGGCGCCGCGCAAGTCGCGCAGGCGACGCCCGGCCTCCGCGGGCCCAGAGCCGCCAGGCGGCCATGACTCCATGGCGGCGAGCGGCGGGGCGGGCCCTCCTCGCCCCGGGCCACTGCGCCTGGGCTCTGCTCCTGCCCTAGGCTGGGGTCGCAGCGGGGAGGGCGGGCAAGGGCAAAGCGCGCACACAGACAGCGCCCACCCGAGCCGCGCGGGCCAGGCCGTTGTACGGCCCCAGGGGACGATCCAGCTGCCGGTCTTCCCTCCCGGCGCGTCTTCGGCCTCTGTCCCGAGCCCAGCGCCCCGGAAGGGCTGGTTTTCCCGGCTCTCGGCTTCTCCTCTGGCAGGCCCAGCAGTCGCCGCAGGTGGAAGTGTCAGCCCTCCCTATATGCCTAAGGGTCTCCTTAAACCTTAACAGCTGTGCGCAGGCAGTAGGGGTCAGGACTCCCTCCCATCCCTCTCCCCTTGAAGAGATTTGAAGAGATTTGGATGCGAGCCACGAGATGAGACAGAAAAATGTGCACCTTAGTTATCTGGCTTTCATTCGCTCATGAGGCATCCTGGTTCCATCTCTGGTAAAGATAGGTGGATGGGCAAATGTTATTATGAAATATCAGTGAGCCACACTGCAGCCGTTCCCAAATTTCTGCAAATTGGAAACACCTGGGGAGCTCAAAAAATGCTGACGCCTATGTCCCACCCTCAGAGATTGGGTTTAATTGGCCTGGTGTGTGGTCTGAGAGTTTAAAGATATCCCCAGGTGATTCTAATGAGCAGGCACGTTTTTTTGGAACCATGGAGCCAAAGCGATAATACTAATAATTGCTGAATACTCGGCGCACATTATCTCATTTAATCTCCAGGAGAACCCAGCTATTACTGTTCCTCTTTTACAGAGGCGGAAATAAGGGTAAAATGTTTAAGGAACTTGTGTAAGATTGCACACCTAATGGCCTTTGCACAGAAGTACAGCCAAAGTTGAAAAATTCCAGGCCTGAAGCGTATCATGCCCTTATTTACTACTGTCTTTGCTGTCAGTGCTTCCCATGAAAATGTGCTAAAGTATTTGGAGTGTCAGAGCAGATTGTATTAGGCCCCTGGAATGTAAACTCCTTGAGAGCAGGGTCCTTACTTTTTTGGTTTGGGTTGTGTCCCCAGGTCCTGGAATATAAGGGAAGTTTAATAAATATTCATTGAATAAGCTACTGATTGAATGAATGAATGACAATCGAAGTATATATAATTTAATATTTGCTAATTTATCAATCTTCACCCATCAGTAGTAAATATAAGATTCATAAAATAGGAGTCTTTAAGCACTGAAAATATTATCAGATTATAATATTCCAATTTAGTATTTTTAGCCATTTTCCCAGTTTAGAATGAAGCATACAAAATTAAGATTTAAATTTTCTACTTTTATTGTCTTTTGATTTGATCTTATTATTAAAATCACTATCAGTTTTATTTTTGTTCCTTTTATATTATAATCAACCTTTAGCTCCATTCTACTTGAAATTTGTCAGATCACTGACTCAGTTGAAAAGTAGGCATCGTAATACATTTCACTGTGTAGCACCACCACCCGTATCTAACCTATAGTATGCATTCTATTAATACATGTTGACTAATTGGTGGACAAATGAATAAATGAGTCTACCTACAGAGGCAGAAAAGCAATCAAATAATTGTTTCTATTAATATTGATCTTTAAACCTCGCTTGTGGAGCTAAAGTTATTCTTCATTTCCTTATTCTTGAGCAAAAATAGCATAGTAATAAAGGTCTTGTTATATTAATTTCTATATAATCATTAATATAATTAAACTTTGAAAATTTAGCCAGAATCTTATTATATTGATTTAGTTCTGTTCTTAGAACAAATATATTAACTCTGTTCACTATGAACCCGTAGATCTTACATAGCATATGTTAACCATGTTTAATATATAGACTTATATTGAAAAAAAGGACAGACTTTATTTATATATCATAATATGAGAAGCAAAGTATTTGTATATCATAATATGAGAAGCAAAGTTTTTTTCTGAGCCTTTTTATATGGACGTAAGTAATTCCTTATTATGCATACTTTGGGTAAAGTATGTAGTTTCCATGTTACTTTTTTTTTTTCTAATTTATGGCTACGTTGGGTCTTCAGTTGCTGTGTGCGGGCTTTCTTTTTATTTGCAGCGAGCGGGGGCTACTCTTCGTTGTGGTGTGCAAGCCTCTCATTAAGGTGGCTTCTCTTGTTGCGGAGCACGGGCTCTAGGTGCTCGGACTTCAGTAGTTGTGGCAGATGGGCTCAGTAGTTGTGGTGCACGGGCTTAGTTGCAATGCGGCATGTGGGATCTTCCCAGACCAGGACTCGAACCCATGTCCCCTGTATTGGCAGGTGGATTCTTAACCACTGCGCCACCAGGGAAGTCTTTACTTTTCAATGCATATAGAAATACCCATTCAATGGAAGTGGCTCTTGTCTTTGTATCTGAAAGGCCTAAAATTCCTGTGTTTGGTTTGTTTCTACATGTCAGTGTACCGTGGAAGATTTATCTTGGGGATTTTATTATTATTATCATTATTAGAGAATTTTCGATCAAATTGGGTTCATTTTTCAAGCGTTAATTCAAGTATAATTAGCACTGTCAATCACTCTCCCCCTCCCCAACCACACTTACTGTTTTAATAGCATCTCTGGAGGTTAGTTGTGGTGTTGCTCACAAATGCTAATGAACAGCTTAATGGTTTACCCTTTAACTCTTTTCAATTCAGAGCCAAACAAAATAAATTATGGTTCCACAGGGGCCAGCCCCAGCATTTCTGTCAGCCTATGAATTCTAATTCCTGTTTTGCTCTTGTGTATCTTTTGTAAATGAGACAGTCTATTAACCTCTGACCTTTAACTCATTTTTATACATAAGAAAGGTAATCCTCCGAATTGAGGTTTTTCTGTGGATAATTCAAACTAAACACCACATGGCAACAAGAATATTATCTTTTTTTCTCTCAGTATTTCTTATAAAGTTAATTATCAACCATCTCAACTGTCCACCTTGTTTTTCCTGTATAGCTAAAAAGGGAAATAGTGGTGAATAGCCTTAGGACTGAATGATAAATTTGACTTCATTAATGCTACCAAAGTTTAACTTTTCATAAGAATCATTTGGGGACCATTGTTAATATACATAGTAGTTCTTATATAGTTATATAATATAATCATTTACATAATATATATTAATCTTAGAAGATATATTATTGGCACCTTTGTTTCAGGAAGGAAGACCCCTTCCAGGGCCCAAGAGTGGGCTTTTGTCTAACACCTGGAAATGAATTGTCCAAGGAGACACAAGTGCTGCCAAAGCAAAAGACTTTATTGGGAAGGGGCAGCCGGGTGGAGAGCAGCAGAGTAAGGGAACCCAAGAGAAATGCTCTGCCAAGTGGCTCTCAGTCTCAGATTTTATGGTAATGGGGTTAGTTTCCAGGTTGTCTCTGGCCAATCATCTTGCTTGGCCCATAGTCTGACTCAGGGTCCTTCCTGGTGGTGCACACATCTCTCAGCCAAGATGGATTCCAGTGCGAAGAATTCTGAGAGGTTGGTCATCTCCTTCCTCTTTTGGCCCCTCCCGAATTCTCCTGGTTAGTTTTCGGTGGCACCTCCTGTTGTGAGACAACTCAGGCAGGTGGTCATCATCGTTCCTGGCCAAGGTGGATGGTTTCAATCAATGGTCCCCTAACACCTTCTGACAGAAAGTTTACCTCAGTAGATCTGGAGTAGGCCCAGAAATCTGCATTTTTTAATAGGCTTCCTTAGGTGATCCTAATGTAAGTTTGGACCAGACTTAAACACTGAATTACAAAAGAATGACACCCCAATTCACGTTATATCCAATGCATTTAATTTCAAGACCTAACGCAAAATGCATGTAATATATTAAACATGCCATATAAAAATTGCATAAGAAATCCATTAAAATGTCTGTTTTATTTCCTTGTTAGTTTATAAAGAAGAAAACACGAGGGGAAAATGTTTAAATGCCAGGAATTAAAAAAAAAAGATGATAGAGACCTGGAGAACCGAATTATCCCCAAGATCTTTCTACAGACCTGTCATTAAAAAACATATCACCTCTGACAGCCACCAAAGGCCATGTCCTTGTCCACAGCTTAAGCAGAATTGAAATTGTTGCCTGGAACTCTGTCCTGAGCATGGAACTCAAGGGTATGATTCAATTGAGGGATGACACATACCTCCAGAAACTAAAAGAGGGGAATGCCCTCTGTGCGTAAGAAATGTGGGAGAGGTGATATCTTTGATGGGTTTGTTTAGGAAACAAATGACTAGTCTAGAATTGGTGGTAGCCAGTTTTCATAATCTGTGGAAGAGAAGAGCATACAGAATCATCAGTGAAGAGCAACAGCTAGAAAAGGAAGATTTGCCATTTCCGCCAGGAAAGATCTTGGCAGCAGTTATTCCTATATATTTTAACTGCAACGTATTACTAAAATGAGATTTAAAGAAAAGAAAGGAAAAAAAAAAACCTAGACTTTAAGAAGAAAATGCTCCCTGAGAATTCAAAGTCATATCTGTTTACTAAGGAATAAGAAAAGAAGAATGTGGACATTTGAATGTGGCATTATTACCACAACCACCACCCCCTTCCCTGCCAAGCACGGAGTAAATATAGGATGTGAGCTGTGCAATAGAGTCTGAATGTGGGACATCATTGCCTTATAATGCCTCACCTAAGAGGGTACCGAGTCTTGATCTTAAGCAGATCAAAAGGGACTCTGGTGGGGTAGGGTACAGAGAGGCAAAGAAGTGACATGGATGAAGCAGAGAGAGAAGACTGAGACGATGATACAGTCTCTTCAGTGATATCCAAAGGATATGAAGATATAAACAACTTTTAATTTTTGTTTAAAAAAGAAAGTGCTTCACTGCTTTTTAGCATGGGACACTTACTTCAGTAGCCAAAAAAACAAAAAAAAGAAAGAAGAAGAAGAAAACACAGTAGTTTGGGCAGATGCTGTAATATCTAGTTAGGAGAACAATAAGCTAAACTGGTTTAGACAGGAAGCACTTAGTAGTGATGGCAAGACCATGTTTCATGGAGAAGTAAATTGTGGTAGATTGCAGAGAGGAAGAAATAAGGTCACTGTGTTGTTTATGCTGTATGTGAATAGAAATAAGTTAACTAGAAATTAATTCCATTTGTGACCATGGCTACCACTAACTGGCATAAGACATAAGTGAAAGAATGAATGAATTAAGAATGTTCAATGTGCCAATGAATATAAACCTAAATGCATGAAGACCAATTTACACTTAGTCTTCAGAAAAATTAGAATGCTGAAAACTATTTCTAAAAGAAAAAATTGTTTTGATTTAAAGTTGCACAGACTATCCTCTTTCTTCCTCTTCTATCATTATTCCTTAAAAGCACTCAAGACCTTGACAAAAGATTAAAAAG